CCCTCGGTTTCGGGGTTCGGGTTGGTTTTGGGGGGATTTTGGGAGATTTTGGGGGTTCTGGATTTGGGATTTCCCTGGATTTTGGGGCCTGGCCCGAATTTTGGGGTGCTCTGAACCTCCTGCTCCTCCCCAGTTTTGGGGTTCAAGTTTAGGGAGGATTTGGGGTCCCCTGAGGGAAATTTTGGGGTCCCCTGAGAGAAATTTTGGGGTCCTTTGAGGGAAACTTTGAGCTGCCCCAAAAAATCATTTCTGGCCTCAATTCAAAGATTTTTGGGGTCCATTGGAGATTTTTGGGGTTTGATTTCCTAAACCCCCAAACTCTTCCAACCAATCCGGGAGGTTCAGGACAAATTTTTGGGGGTGAACAGCCAAAATTTTGGGGGTGCCCTCTTAAATTTTAGGGAATTCTGAACCTCCCTCCTCGCGTTTGAATTTTGACCAAAAATCTCTTTTTTCCACCCGACTCGGGACTCCAGCTTTGGGGCGGGGCTGAGGGGTCCCGGGGAGGTTTTGGGGGGCCCCGGGCGGTTTTTGGGGTGTCCCCCCCTGGATTTTGGGGTCCCCCAGGCCCAGTTCTCGGAGCTCTCCTTGGCCGCCTCCACCCACGGCGCCCTCAGCGTCACCATCGCCCCCCCCCGGGGGGGCTCCAGGTACGATTTTGGGGTTCCCCCCCCTTTTTTTGGGGTCCCCTCCCGAATTTTGGGGTGCTGGGTGCGCCCCCTCTCAATTTTGGGGCTGAATTTGGGGTCCTTTCCTTTCTTTTGGGGTGGAATTTGGGGTCTCCTCCTTTCTTTTGGGGTGGAATTTGGGGTTCCCTCGTTAGTTTTGGGGTTCCCCCCTCAATTTTTGGGCAGAATTTGGGGTCCTCTCCTCAATTTAGGATGGAATTTGGGGTTCCTCCGCCTTTTTTGGGGGTCTCCTCCCTTATTTTGGGGTGGAATTTGGGGTAATTTCCTTGATTTTGGGGGGGTAAAATTGGGGTGCTGGGTCTTCCCCCCTCAATTTGGGGCTGAATTTGGGGTTCTCTCCCTTTTGGGGTGGAATTTGGGGTCCCCTCCTGAATTTTGAGGTGAAATTTGGGGTTCGCTCCTCAATTTAGGGCAGAATTTGGGGTTACCTCTTTATTTTGGGGCAGAATTTGGGGTCCCCTCCTGAATTTTGGGGTGAAATTTGGGGTTCCCCCTCCTTTTTGGGCCGGAATTTGGGGTTCCCTCCTAATTTTGGGGTGCTGGGTCTTGTCCTCTCGTTGGGGGGGTTCCCTGCTCAATTTTGGGGTTCTGGGGGGGGACTTTGGGGGTTCAAAGGGAGATTTGGGGGG